ACTTTTTGAACGGCATTTCACAAAATCTGCAGATAAAGGAGAAGATCTTGTTTTCCACAGCACAGGAACCTTTTAGTTTATTGAAATTTTCTTGACTAAAGCCCAGAACCTTCATTTCTGCCTCCTTGTGCCTCATCCCCTCGTGCATCCTGCCACCCTCCCCCTGTGCTCCAGGGAGAGAAATGTGACAGGGGAAATTCAAGGACCCCTTTTCAGATGAAACTTGAAAACAAACGTGGTCTAAATCTACATTTGACCTCACTTTCTTACTGACCCATTTTAACACTTCAAAATTCTTTCTACAAGGTCTCTATAAAGTTAGGAGGGAAAAAGGAAACAACTGAAACAAAAATCTGTGGAGGTATTTATGAACTGTGATGTCTCAGAAAGTGTAAAACCCTTTTCCTCACAGTGCTGAGATCACTGCTGCTCTCTCAGACTGAGACATCTGATGCACTGAGCAGTGTTCCAACAATCATTAATACCAGAATTAAGGACAACACCCATTTCTCACAGTAACTGCACCAAAACCAGCAGAGCCACCCCACCATTTTTCACCTTTAACATAAATATTTTCTCCCATTAACATATGCTAAGCTTTTCTCCCATTATTCCATTATTTCCTTCTCCGTGGATTGTGATGAACACAAATACAGAAAAATAGCATTAAAATAAAAGCAAAGTGATGGCTCACACTGAGCAAAAACCAAACACAAACTGAGGGATGCATGTTGGGAATAATTTATTGCCTATAAAAGGTTAAAAAAAAATTCCTAAGTTCACATTTTCTGCGTGGGTTTAAGGGGTGTCACATTTCAGAGGTAGCGTTGTGTAAAATGTAAAACAGAGCTGGAAAAGAGTTAGTGACTTAGTTCATTAACATGGGAATATGTTCCAGAGCCAAAGCACTGACCTGAACTGTTTTCCTTCCAGGAACATCCTCGAACACCTCCTTCAGCCAGGAGGATTTGCTCCTTTGTGGGAAAAGAACCCCCACAAGCCCAAGGCTCTGCCCTGTTTCTGTTGCCTTCTGACCAAAGCAGCTGCTGGTTTTCAGAGCAATAAATACTCTAAACTCCTGTTCTTCCATGGAAAACACCCATTTTGTAGTGCTGCTTTGACTGCTTTTTTTCTCCCCAAAACTTTTCAGATTTCACATTTGGTCAATGTGGTAAAACATTCTTGATGAAAGGAATCCACCAGCACAATCCAGCTCGTGTTCTCTGCAGCCAGGTGGAGTCTGCTCACTGACCACCCCTAACTTTGCTCAGATTTGGGGCAGAAAAGCAGAGTCTGGCCAGGTTCCAGCCCTCAGCCCCTGGGCTGGGGGAGCTGGGCAGGGGCTGCAGTTGGACATCAAGCTTTGGGCTGGCACTGCTCCTGTGGCAGGAATTCTGTGCTATTCCCTTTTTCTGGGCACATTCCTGTCCCTCCTCACAGCCTGAGAGCAGAGCCAGCAGGGTCACTGCTGTGCAGGACTCTGTGCTCAGTGCCAGGGACACAGCAGGGCAGGAGGTCCCTCAGGGGAGGGCAGATCCATCTGGAGCAGGGATTCCCATTCCCAAGCCAGGAGGTCCAGGATGCTGCTGGTTTGTTCCAGCACTCACCAGTCTGAGCCCAGCAGCACACACAGCTTCTCCCCCTGGGGAGCAGGCTCTCTACAGCTACTGCCCAGTTCAAGGTGAGGACAGAACCAGGACATTCTTTTCCTCACTCACAGGGCTGCAAAGCCCCAAACTCCTCATTTCACATTTTTTATTGCCTTAGTGAAAAAAAATACTTGGAGAGATTAAAGTGCAGAGCTGCCTCCAGGGCACTCCAGAAACCTCATACGGTTCATCTGTTCAGGTATCTTTAAACCTGCTCCAAATTCACCTTCTGGAGTATTTATTATTTTATTGGAGTATTTCCTGCTACTGTCACTCCTGTCAGATCTATGGATGTGACTGAAGCATCACCTGCAGGGAAAGGGAAGCAGGCAGAGCTCCAGGAAATAGGGTTTCAACCTTGCAGCATCAAAAGCAGCTCCCCAGGGAGAGCCTGTCCTGCCTCTGGGTAAAGTGTCTGTTCTGGGCTACTTTCCCACCTGGGTTTCTTCAGAAAGACATCACTGATGCTCCCACAGATGCTTTAGGAATGAACAATGCCAGGGAAGTCACTGTTCATGGACAAAATAAACGAGACACTGTGCAGGATGGTCAAACATTGCTACGTGGCCACAGGAAGGTGACAAAAACACCAGCACGAAGCCCTTCTGCTGCAGTGATAATTCACATTACAGTCACTCACTGGGGCAGAGAGGGGGCTGATTTCTGTCACCCTGAAAATAACAGCATGAGCTTCATCTCCTATGGAAGGTTATGGAATGATGAACTGCACTTGCTGCAGGTGTTTGTTACTGTCCTACAGACAGGGGAAACATCCTGAACCTAAACCCACCCCAGAGCCACCCCACTGCTCTCCACCAACATTTAACCACCACTAATGGTAACAGCTCGATTTTTGTTGGAAATACACACTGACACTGAAAAAAACCAGCCATGGAGCTGAGCAGCATCTTTCTCCCCAGATTTTGTTATTCAGGGATAGAATTTATCCTCTTTTTTTCCTGACTATCCTGTAGTGTTGTCAAGTATCCCAGGCTGTGTTTTGTCTCCTCACAGGAGAAGGGACCACAGAACATCCCCAGGGATGGGGTGGGCCTTGCCCAGCTCATCTCAGCTGCACATCCAAGAGGATTCCAGCCTCCTGGAGAACAGGGACTGACATCATTGCTTGTATCCAGCAAACAGTTCATTCAAAATTCATTCCTTCGATTTGTTTGGGTATGAAATAGCAGCAAGACAGCAAAATAGGAATCATCAATGGAAGTTTTTCTTGCAGGAAGGCAGATGATTTAATTGACCATGAAATTGAGAACTCCTGTTAAGAGTATCCTGCCCTCTCTCATGAGAATTCAAGTGGAAGAAGCAGGAAAACAGGGTCCAAATAGTGGCAAATCCCAGCACTGTTTTTTGTAATTTCACAGAAAACAAGAGGTTTCATTGTCAGTGGCACAAATTTCCTGTCTAAAGAGAACAGCAATAGAAACCATTGTCAGCCTGGCATAGAAAACCCTTTATAAATAGTTTTTCTGAGAATTCCAGCTCAGCTCTGTCCTCCCTGTGAAGGACAGCACTGTGAGCTCTGCTCACAAACCTCATTTCCACTCAGAGTTTCAATGCCTCAGCTCACACACAGGCCCAGCAGCCTGGAACTCTGGGCTTTCCCTGTGGAAGGGTAGCTCTGCTGGGAACGTACAGAACTGTACAGGTGGCAGAACTGAGAGACTTTTGGTTTTCCAGAACACCTTTTAAAACCATTCCTGCCCTTTCTGCAGCTGGCATTTTACAGTATTGCTAAAAGCTCCTCATGCCCAAGGAGAGGAGAGACTAAAGACCTGAAAGAACAGAGCTCACTACTGATACTAAACAAAAAGAGCTGTACAAGTGATTAGGGAGGAACTGATCAGACTGAGAAAACCCTAAAACCTGAGTCTAATCCCAGTATTAAAGGAAAAAAAAGGTGTTATTTCCCCACCACTCCGGATTTTCTGAGCTACACCTTGGACCTCCCACTGAAATTAAGGGGGTAACTTACTGCATGAACAAAGACTCCCCAGAGTCAATTATTATTTGGCATAAAATGGGAAGATCAGGTTTTTTACCAGACTGAAGTATCTGTATGAAAAATACTTGCTGAGGGAAATCCAGGTTAGAATTGGAGCATCAATGCCATGGGCAGGGACAAGGAACATCCCACAGAACCATCCTGGAGGAGAAGAGCTCCAGGACTGAGACCTGCCTTGGACTGGTCACCACCCTGTCACTCAACCACAGCACCACTGCCATGGCCAGGCACTCCCTGGACTCCAACACACCCCACTGAATCCACCTGAGCATCTCTGCACAGCCATTCCACCACAGGAGGGAGAGACTCAGTGCCAACAGCTCTGGGAAAGAAGAAATTCAGTTCAGCCCCTGCCTGCAATCCAGATCACAGTTTAGAAATGGCACTTGCCAAAAAATGCACCAGGCAGGGCTTCAAAGCAGATCTGCAAAGCACACTTCCAACACTGGAAAACCTTTCAGGATGCAATGACAGCTGTGGAATTCTGACTGGCTTGGTAAACTGGAGCAAAGTTTGTAGAAAAACATAAACCCAAGAATTAAAATAATAAGCAGTACTTTAGTATTCAGGCATTGACAAATAAAAACTGAGACTACAATCATTAAACTCTAAAGAGTGTAAACATCCAATCCCATTACTACTGTATTAGGAAATTGTGTCCTGCAGCTATCAGGGTTCCCATTTCCACCTAATTTCTTCCAACACTTATCACTGCTTCTTTGCATTAATAATTTATTCATGATAATTCAATTTTTTCAGTTAGCCTTTCAAGGTTTTTCAGCTATTTTGGTCAGAAAAATGGAAGATTTAACAATCTCAAATCAGAAAACAAAAAACACTTCATTTAATTTCAGGTTTTCAAGCACAACTCAGAGAAAGCCCATTATTCTATTTGGATCCCAAATTTTTAGTCCACCTACCTGAGTAAAAATGGGGAAAAATACAATAAACAGGCCTGGGGAGCACGTGGAGCTGGAGAATTCACTGCGTGTGTTTCCCATTCTTCCATCCCTGCTCAAAAAGACTTTGCTACAGAATTGTTCTGGAGAGTCAAAGTTAATCCTACCCAAGGCCAAGCTGCTCCCAGTGAACCCTTCCCTCACCCAGTTCTTTGATTTTCCAAACCCAGCGCTGCCAATTGCTGG